GATAGAGTCAAAAGTTGCCGGGGATCGAATTCGAGTCAAAACTCAACGGGGATCGAGTCAGAACTCACCGGGGAAAGAGTCGGAGCTCACCGGTGATGGAGTCGGACACACTATAGTAAATCGTGATAAAGAAAAACACGCCGCTGATAAAGACTGAGTTCACCGGGTTTAGAAACAAGGCAAGCCGGGGATACAGTCGGGCCACATCGGGCTGAGCATACCCGGAGCTCACGGGGTGGCATTAGTGGTCATTGGGCGTGTTTCCTGGGTCCGTCTATATGGGTGCGGCCATGTGCCCACTGTGCCAACTGGGGGCTGAGGCATCCGGGATGTGTCGATTGATAGACAAATAGAGCCGGTTGGAGGCTATCAAACAGATTAAAAGGCAGAGCTGATCCGTTACTCACTGGTGAGCGAACAGACGCTGCGAGGACTCAGCAAAAGCCGAGCCCGAGAGGTCAACTAAACGGTGCAATCAACGACAGGCGAAGCTTTCCTGAGACTAACTCCACGTCACCAGCATCTAAAAACGCATGATCACAAGGTTGTTTGCCAATGCCACTGTTATTACCAGCACAAACTTTGGCGACTAAGTTTCACCAACAAAGTGAGAATAAATCATCATAGCCGCAATGACATAGACACTACGCACGCATGCCTTGACAAACAACACTATCATCTCCAATACATGCCTCACCACATTAAAGGGACCCTCCCACCTTAACATTAGATTTGAGTTGAGTAGCCAAAATGGGGTCCCTGGCTCACAATTACCGGTTTCGGCACTCACAACATCGAGAAATGCCTTAAATCGGAAATATTGAATTTCAAAATTGCAGCATTTTGATTCAGAGGGGCTAATGCTTAGGAATACCCCTCTGAATGTGTGACGTCAGCGCGAATATCTAACGATTTTTAAATGTTTGACTAAAACGTTTTGTAGCACGCGGTGGTATATGCTATTTGCGCGCAACATCTGCCGCAAACGCCGCACTTCTAAAATCAAGTCGCTAGAAACAGCGGAGATCCCAAAAAAGTAAACAAAAGTAAAAGTCTAATATCTTGAAAACCGGTGAATATTTTTCGGTGAAATTTGGTAGATATTCGTTTTCGCTCTTTCTGAACCGAGCGACATCACTTTCATGCCAATTCATAAACTTTTTTGAAGGTGGGAGGGTCCTTTTAACTGCTGCAGCCTGCAGTGGCACCCAAATTTGTGCTTACACAGACAACGCCACGCCCATTCTGCGACTCTGGATGAAGTCATCACAGAAATTGACACCGATCTGTATCGCCGTAAGTCACGGTTCGGGTGTCGACACAAACTGCAGATGATGTATTACAGAAACGGGCCTTGGCAGTACCGATTAGCTGCGACTAAACCTGCACGTTTGCATAAACAAGCGCCGTTTGCTACGCTCGGCGGCACCATTGCACCACCACGGGGAGCGAGGTGACGAACCTCACCTCAACGTGAGACGCCGAAATGGTTCAGGTTTGGCAAAAACATGGCGAAAACAGAGAGAGGTGCTTCATAAAAGTCGGCAAATAACCTGGTTTAGAAACACTACTTGTCTTATACAATACCGTTTATTGAATAAAGATGATTCAGCATAAGACATGATGTAACATATTTTATGTATGTTTATATAATATATTGTTATGATGGATCAGAATGGAAACCAAAAGCCATCAAACGAAGAGCGCCATTATTTCTCCCATAACTTTTAAAACCGTCAGAGGTCGTTCCCACAGAAACACCCCCAACCCACACCCTTCAGCTTGTCATTCACTTCATCTCTGGTGCAATATCTCCCACACAACTATGGCGCAGCGCAACTCTCCCAACATGCTGAGCCGTAAACCGTAACCAAACCTTCTCCTGGGTCCCCTGTTGACGGAGGCATGTGGCTTAGCGACTGGCACTAAAGCCATGAGAAAATACATAAGGGTTCCCATAAAAGTGTTGCGCTAAAAATTCACAACGTCGTTGAGACGAACTATGGTAAACAAATAACGTTGCAGCATGCTTTCAAAATGATCGTATAAAATAAAAATAAAACTGACAATATTTTATGATAAATAAATATTCCTCTTGGCAAGTCAAGTAATATATTGCATTATATGTATTACATGTATTATATGCAGTAATATATGTATTTTTGTTATAGGTATGTTCATTGTACGACCTAACTTCCATGCTGGAGCTAAATCACTTTCATTTTGGCGTCTTTTCTATCTCGTCACCGCCAATGTTCTGATGCAGATTCGATAAGAATTATGTGACGTAATGGATCGAGATTGATATCGTTAAACGTATAATGGTTACTACCAATTAACAAGGTGCCCACAAGGCACAGTGACGGGAATCTACGTAGCTGTGTGCAGCAGTTTTCATGAATAGGCCCCATTGTATCGCATCCATGGTATCGCCTTGCTCCGGTGCAGACTAGCGGTCCGACACAGTCGACGGCCACGGCGTCATCGTATGGCGGCGGTGGCCATCAGGCATACGGGGCCGCCGTGTCATACGGGGGGGGGGGGATACGGCGTCATACATACGGCAGCAGTCAATACGATACAGTAATTAGACTCGTACGTATACCTACAGTATAGACATATAACAGACTACGGAATCATGGGCCATACAAAATACATATAGGTTATACGGCCTGCGGTGTCATACAAACAGGGCAACGGCATCATGCATACCACCAATGGTAGTTATGAAATAACATGCGGGGCGCAGCGTCATACATACGAGTATGGGACGCAGCGACATACGGGAAACAGTAAATATACAAATAGACACGTCAAAAATAACAAACATATGTGTTCGTGGGACGCAGCGGCAAACGGGAAACAGTGCAACTGCAATTGCATATGAACCAGACAACTGCATCACGACTGAGCATTGAGATGGCTGCTTGGTGCCATTCAGACCAGGCATGAGGAAACTGTATGTTGTGAGGGCGTAGACAGGGGTGTTGTTTTCCGAAAGTGATTGGTGGGGCCCAAAGAAGGCAGACGGCTATTTATGACGTGCTTACAAAGGTATCCCCAAAGGCCAAATTTGCCTTCCTCATCGGATTTCGGCCATTTATTTTTCTTCTTTGGTAACTGACAATCAAAACTAGAATAATAATAAAAATCTGGGAAATATAGGTACTACTGAGCCCTATGCACAAAACGTACATTTATATCTTATAAAGGCATTAGAGTCAGAGGACAAACTCCTTTTTCTAGCGAATATCTAGCTCGATCAGGGACCGAACGGTTCATGTTCCCTTTTCATCAGGTGATACATCAGGTCAGATACATTGTCATCTACATCAGGTGATGTAGGTATCTGACAAAAGATTGGTAGGGCTCAGTGCTCACGGAGCATTGGCAGGGCCCAAATCATCATTGGTAGGGCTTGGGCCCTACCAGGCCTACACAGAACGACACCCCTGGACGTAGACAGCGACGAATTGTGAGACAGCCGATTTATGAATGACTTATGAGAACGACATCACTGTCAACTGTTCGCGTGAAACATGGTCGAGGTCCCGAAACACTGGACGATAAGCGTAAGGTAACAGACGGGACCGTGTCAAGCGACAAAAGCGCCATCCCAAAGGCACAAAGACAGCACAGCTACACCGCTAGACAGTGACGGATAGGTGAATGACACCTAGGCTGAGGAGGCGGCAGAGGGATTAGACAGACAGGGACCGTCGTTCCCACATCCCAAACACTCCATATGCAGTATGCACGGCGTCGGTCACTGCCCGGGCTGGGAAGTAGGGAGATAAACAGGGGAAAGGACGGAATATGTGACGCTACGGGATACCTGCTGGCAAAACAAGGGAACAGATTCGGGACGATGATGCCATGGACTAAGCGGAAGTTAGCTGACGCAAGGGAGAGGACAGCTGACGCTCCCCTCTCCCTCAACCCGCAAGGGAGACGGGAAGAGCACCGTCTGAAAGCAGAGCGGGGTGCCGTTGACAGACAGGAGAGGAGATACCCGATGAGTGACGGGTGACGAGGGACGCGGACCGGCGGGAAATGAGGGGCACTGATTGACAGGGGTGATAGTGAACGGTGATACGGGCTGAGGGGAAGGAGAGCGGAGATACAAACGGTTAGAGGGGACGGGAATCGTTTGAAATCGGCAATGATTTAGGTCACGATCGAAGGGTTAAAGTTGACAAAAACGTAGAACTCCAAATACCTCTTTCATATAAAGGGTTTCAAAGAGGGTAAAATGTTACGAATTTTAGAGGCTCAGATAAACAACACGGAAAGCGAACGAGATTGAGAATGAGGGAAAACCGTCGCGAAGTCCGGCAGAGTATGTATGTACCATGCGGCGGTCTGCAGTGATGGTCGAACCGGTTTGGCAGGTTCGGTGGCCGACCGATTAGCTACTTCCATGCCGACCAGCTCAGTAGGCCAAATTTAGCTCGCTCCACTGGAATATCCAAACCGGACTCGGAAGCTAACGACATGCAGCGGAAACGGGAAAGGTCAACAACCTCTGAATTGTGCCAGGAGACGAGAAAAACAATCGAGTGAGTCTACGTTTTTAACAAGAGATAACAGCTTCAAGCTTGTATGATTGACGGTAACGGTATTCTCATCGTGATATAAATCATCACAAAGCGTGGTGACATATTATAGTGCATGTATGGCCTAAACTTTTGAATTCTTTTTAAAAGGGGAAAAAACCGCAAGAAATTACCCAACGTTTCGCATTTATTGCTTAGTCATGGGTCTTCGAGTGCGATTTCTTCGAGTGCACAATTGCACTCGAAGACCCATGACTAAGCAATAAATGCGAAACGTTGGGTAATTTCTTGCGGTTTTTTCCCCTTTTAAAAAGAATTCAAAAGTTTAGGCCATACATGCACTATAATATGTCACACCTATCTATTGATAATCCTCAACAAAGCGTGGTGTATCTCCGAAGCGGAGCGGGGACGCAGGGTAACGATGGCGACGCGGTGACTTACTGGTCCGGATCTGATCCTCGTCCTGGGCCACCGCCGACCACTCCTCGTACGAAGTGGTCATCAGCACCTCGTCACCGTCCCCCTCCACCACACTGCACATATCCACCGTCCGCACGTCACTGCCTGCCGCGCTGACGGCGGCGGCGTCACTGGCGCCCCTCCCCCCTGGCGGCGGCGGCACGCGTCCGGCCCGCCGGCGGCGCCACACCAGCACCAGCACAACCAGCACCAGAGCCGGCACCACCAGCAGCAGCAGCCCGGCGCCGGCCGCCGCCGCCTCCATCGCTCCGCCAATCACCGGCCGGCTCTCTGAACGGCAGCCAACCAGCGGCGCCGACACAGCCGCCGCCTGTCGGCAGCAGAACGGTAAATGAGCGGACCATCCGGTGTCCGTCCGGAGCCCGGCGTGTGGGAACCACCGGGGAAGTGGGGAGGGGAGCGCGAGGGGAGCGGGAGGGAAACCCTCCGGCGGATCCCACGGTAGCTGGCTCCCGGGGCGGCCGGCTCGCGTCTCAGGTCTCCGTTTCATGGGCGGCCGCCGGATGTCCTGCGGTTCATTAGGGGCTGGAGAGTGACAACAGATGCCGAGGGAGCCACGAGAGGCGTTATTCGCGACCGAAGCGGCGGGCGAAAGCAAGGGAGATGTAGGTAAATCCCACGTGCCGCGAGTGTTCTGAACTTGCATCAATGTAGGTTTTCCGGTTACGGTTTATTAATTAGGTAGATGCAGGGGCGTCGCCGACGGGGGGGTCGGGGGGGTCGCGACCCCCCCACACGTCAGAACCGGGGGGGTCGACCCCCCCACTTTTGGCGATGCTGAATATGCTTTTTTTAGCTATCATGTCAGGGAAGTTGGCGTCAGCAACATCAACAAATACAACGTCAGATTCAGAATCGCTTCAAGAGCTCCCTAGTCCCTATTGCTTATAGGTCAATAAGCTGTGGGCCTTCAGCATGACAATATGATTTTAGTCCCTTTTTATCCCTCAAATGAGCGAGCGCGTCAAAACTGACCCAAGCGTTCGTCTGATTGTCTAAATAATGGTTGCAGTCGATTCGTCGGATGACGTATCAGTAGCTACGAGGTACCTGGCTAGCCTCAGCCCTGCTACCCTTGGACCTGCCTGCATAGGGGAAATGGGGTCAGATGGTGGATCCCTCTGGGGCTTTCCTAATAAGACGCGCAAAAAGGAGTATATTGCAACGAAACTTCCAGTGACCTCGAGTTAATGAATTTTACACCTATTCTAAAAAGAATTAACCCTGATTCGAATATGGATGACCTTGGTTAACTTTTTTGAGTTTTATTTGCTTCCACTTACAAGTGTGGTTTTTGGGGCTGATTTCGAGTTTAGCGCCCGTTTGAACCGTTTGAAGTAGTTTTGATAAATGATGGTTATGTAACATGTTACGAAGCTATCGTTGGTGGTTGTCAGTCACCCACTCTAGATGGCCGGCAGGAAGCCTGCTGGTCGACCTGACCTGACCCGACCCGATCTACCCAAAATGCATGGAGTCATCATCTTTGTTCAAGACTAACATCGAACTCGTACTCGGGACCCCGATAACAGCTACGGCTCACTAAGTTCTAGCAGGCGGACAGATTTTTCCTACTTTTGGGTGTTGACCTAAGATGACCCGGCCAAGACCTTGAAATTGGGCATCATCGGCTTTCTCTCATCACGGGCAGCATTTTCGCTCTTCCGCGAAACTCTACCTCGATCAGGGGCCGAAAGCACGCCTTATGCGTTACGTTGGTAAACGTTTTACCTTAGCGACCCGCAAAATACGAATAAGAGCTACAGTAACACAGAAAGCGTATTCGATAGCTTTTTAAAGCTCTTTCGCCTACTTGGCCTCAGATATGACTTCGCACTGAAAAAAGTTTTTACCATCAATTTACTAAGTTACTAGCTTTGGTAAATTTTACCATCAGCCTACCATCATATTACTACCAGCCTACTATGGTGCTGAATACTATCCTGCCTTGACATGTTGATATTACCATGGTTACGTTTATCAGGGGTGGTTTTGTACCCCAGTTTACAAGGTGGTAACCACCTGAGGCTAGTAGATACCCTCGTAAGCTAATATTCCCTACCATAGTAAAATCAACCTTTCCACGGGCGGATCCAGCAGGTGAATTCGGCGATCAAGTCTCCTCCTTTCCATAGAGGTGTTTGCCAATTTTTGATATGTTGGAAGGAGCGTCATCCAAGGACTAGCTGAGACCCTGAGCAATTAATAGTTTTATGGACGAAAGGCCAGAAATTTCTTGCAACAGTTCCCTGGGTGTGCTTCTGCTGCTATGGTAAGGTATACCATGGCAACACCATGACAACACTACACCCTTACTAACAATCCACGTGCGTCTGACTCTGCTGCAGCGGCGCCGCCATGTCAGTTCCGGCCGCGCGCCGGCGTTGTGAAGGTGCTCCGTGGTTTTAAATATTTGAACGGTGATTGTGTGGGTGGTTAGCGTAGCTGACGGTGGAGGATACTCGGAAATAACAAGTAAGTCGTTGTATCTTCAGCATAATAATACTTATCTCACGAGTGCCATTTCCAGCAAAGATCGCAGCCTTTGTTTCGGTTCATGTTGTTGAATTTCCTTGAGACCCTGTTGGACCGGGTAGGGGGAGGGTGGTGGGGTGGGTATCATTGCGGGCATTTCCCAGCGTCGGAAATCAACGTGTTTTTTTATTTGTTAACCCACGCCTCACTGGGGTATGTGCTCTAACGCGCCCCACAGCACGTTATAGCACGTTACAGTGGGGGGGGGGGGGCTCCTAACTCCGAAACTACTGGGCCGATTGTCAAAATTCAAACGGCCCCTGGTAGCCCTGGAAATATTGTTGAGCGAAGCCTAATGTCATTGACCTCGAGGTCATCGATGACGTCACAGGTCAGGTCAAAGTAAAAATATCAGCGTCTTGGCACTCTGGGCGCCGGCCAACAAATCAGATCAGGCTCATTTTTTGTTTGCACACTCGTGAATATATGCGTAACATAACCTGAGGGTACCGAACTTGTACTTCGAATTTTTCAGGTCAAGGCCATCTCATCCCAGGTCACGAAAGCTTTATATCGTGCATCGGTGACGTGAGACATGTTTTATGGTTCATGTAGGCCATATATATCGAAATCAGTGTTGTATGTGTCAGTTTAGGCCATTTTAGCTGAATATAGCTGAGGTCAGGTCAGGTCACTTTAGGTCAAAAATGGTCAAATTTTGAAGTTGACATTTTTCAACAAAAAAGGTGTTTGTCAGATGAAGTTCACATATATTCAACGCATATGTGTTCAATCACATATAGACCCCGTTTCCATGGGCATCACTGATCCGGATCAGCAAACTTAAATCGTATTATATTTCTCGAACTCTTCGTTACATGATATAATTCCAAGTGGATTAGGCTTATATAATCAGTTAATCCCTTATTTTCATTTTCATATATTGTCTAACTATACTGGATTAGCTAATCCATTTTTACTGATCCGGATCAGTGATGCCCATGGAAACGTGGTCATATTCTGCTTTTTTTCATTCAGAAACGTATATGTAAAAAAATAAATACAATTTCTGAGTTTTTATATTTATAATTTTCAAAATATTCAACATTTCGAAAGTCCGAAATCAGTTTGGTAGCCCTGTAGAGTCCACCCATGCAAAAAAAAAGGATCTAGCTTAACCCTCAAGGCGGTGGGGGGGGGGGCATTTTTTGCATCCATCTTTAGTTTTTTTTTTCGATATATCTCCAGAACCGCTGCGCCGATCTTCACCAAACTTTCAGTACCCTTTTGCACATTGTGACCAAATTTTTTTTCCAAAGGCTATGATAAGTTGGCCGCTACGTCGGAGTGACGTCATTTCTGCCATTGTCGACCAAAAAAAAAAGCTTCGCGGGAAGAGCTGTCAGGTCTATAAATTTGATTATGCATAAAAATGTTCAAGACATGAAATGTGTAGAATTACCAGGGCTACTATACTGTTCTCTCGATTTTGTTTTTGAAGTTGACCCCAAAAATAAAAAGAAATAGATATAATAGCCAAAAAATCCCAAAAGTTTTTCGATTTTCGAAACAAACGGAATATATGTAATAGCCACTATGGACTTCTATTCACATTCCAAGTATTAGATCGATAACTCCTTTTTGCCAAGTTATAACAAAAAAAAACTGTTCAAAATTAATGACGTCAAATTTTCAAACTCGATTTTGGCAATTCTAGACCACAAAGCGCAAAACAAAGACCACCATTAGACTCGCCGTGACGAGTGGCATCGAATCAATACCAATTTTATGCGAAACTATCAACTTTGACCTGAAATTTGACCTTTTTGACCTGACATTGACCTGACCTCCACCAGAAAGTGACCAAAAAACCGTCCCTGATGGTCTTATAACCAACACCATTGAGGCGAATATGAAAAATTGGCCATAAAACATGCATCGCACAACCCTACTTAGTAAAGATAGGTTCATGTGCTGACCCTTGGTGATCGGACCTGGTATTATCAGTGACCTCCAATAGCAACATATGCTCGTATAATAGGCAACTCACGCCCTATCGCTGATTTTTGACAAAATGCCCTTTACTCGATGTTGCAGCGCATTCCTTAAAAGACCCGTGAACGGTGAAACATTTTATCTTTGACTTGGCCTGTGATGTCATCGGTGACCCCGAGGTCAATGAAATTGAAGTTCCCTCGACAAATTTAACAAGGCTATCGAACGCCATTTAAATTTTACCGATCCGTCATAGTAGCTTCGGAGATTCGGGGGGGGGGTCAAAAATCCCCCCCCCCCTCCCACCGCGCGGAAGGTAGCCGGGAGGCCCACCGCTTGCCGGGTTAAAACTCAGATCTTGAGAGCGATTACCGTTGTTCAATGCTTTGCATCAAAATCGGCCGAACATGATGTCACTCTGGCGTCATTTCCGGCCGATCTATAGTAGCTACGAAAATTTTATTAGTGCACAAGGTGTCAAATAAATTGATGCAGCCGAAGGTCCTAAAAGCTTTGTTTTGATACGTCCAGCGGTTTTAAAGATATTGCGTAAACACGAGAGGGGCTATGAATAGCCCTCCCCACAGTAGGGTGGGGGTTAACCCTCGCCCGTATTGGTGTTTTTCCAGCCACGAACGTTTAAGGGGGGGGGGGTCCGTTGAACCCCCTCCTTGCCGTTTCGCCCCTGATTGAGCTAGAGCTTCGCGGAAAAAACGAGCGTGCTGCCCGTGACGAGAGAAAGCCGATGGTACCCAATTTTATCCTAGGTCGTCGGTCCTAGGTCATCGGTTGACCTTCCAGGTCAGGTCAATGACCCAAAAGTGGGGAAAACTG